TATGCTGTAGTCCCCACCAAGCGGCGAGGAGACCAGCAGCATCGCCCGCGTCTCGCCCAGCTGGCTCGGCTCGTGGGTCACCTCCACGCTCACCTCCGAGCCCCCCACGCTGGCCGGGGCCACGCTGAGGGCCTTCTCTGCTTGGAAATCCGCGCAGTCGATCTGCACGGGGGACAGAGAAGACGATAATGGGGGTCACCAAAGCAGATGCGGCCCCAGTGCCCCACGGCACACAACACCATGGCTCCAGCCACACTGCTCCCATTCCCACCCTTAGGCAGGCATCCATGATGAGTGGCCCTATGGACACCCAAATGTTCCCCCTCTGCAACCCAAACCATGGGTGACCTTAAGCCCTAGGGTACTTCTGGCCGTAACCTCGAAGTCCAAGCTCCAAAGGACTTGCAACAGCAGCTCCAACAAGGACATCAGAGAGGGATGCACAGGCCAGCAGGGGACAGGCTCAGTTGTGGTGGGAAGAGCCTTGTGCTCCCACTCATTAGACCAGGTCAAATTGGAGGGGCAGGAGCTCCCAAAGGAACATGGTGACACCAACAAGATGAGCTACCTCCCACCCCTGCTGCCCCACAGGGCTCCTTCTCTCCTGCAAGGGCTAGGGGGAGCGTGCGGGGTGGCCTGGGGGCACCTGAAGGACATAGTCTGTTTTCTGCCGGATGTAGTTGATGAACTTGGCAGTCATGGTCTGGTTAGAGCCCAGCGCGGTGCAGAAGTAGAGTGGCTTCTCGGGCCTGCTGGCGGTGGCTTTCAGGTTCAGATCATAGTAGAAAGAGCCCAAGTCGCTGCTCTGGAGCACCAGGTGCCCAGTGCTCTCCCCAACTTTCAAGGGCTGGTACTCAAAGACAAGACTCGTCTGAGAGGAAGAGATAGAAGAGCCGCTGGGTCAGGCAGAGAGGGGGAGGCAGGGCCTGGGACAGGGGGACGCAGGATGGCAGCCCACCACTCAGTTACTCCAGTTAGCAGAGCAGAGCTAGGCCGTAGCTGGGGGACAATTTACTCGGGGACTGTCCTGAGCAAGCAAGAGCCCTCCAGCACTATCCCAGCAGCTTCCCAGCCTAAAGTATCTTCACCCATGACCCCCACATTGAGGAGCTGAAATATCATCCCTGCACTTTACTTGCACACTGTATCTCCAATCCAACACACTCCAAGGGTCCTAATAGCTCTGCAGCTTCTTGCCATCTGCCACATCTGAGTTTCAGAGTGGACAGGCTGGCATTCCAGCAGCCTTCCTCAGGAAATCAAGGTGAAATTCCCAACTCCAGCCAACGTATTCATGTGAGAGCTATCACCCTTGAAAAGCATCCCCATATAGAGCATGGAGGGCACCACCCAAAAAGCAAGACCCTCAAAAAGCACCTGCTCCCTCAAAAGCTGCAGGAAGTACAGAGTGTCGGACAAGCTTTGCACCCACCTCTGACAAAGCAGAGACAGTGACCTTCGCAGGCATGCTGATGTCGGGCACTTTGCAATCCATGGTAAATGTCACCGGTACGGACAGAGGGTTGCCCACGCTGATGGACGAGGACACGCTCTCCCGAATAGGGGCGACCAGTTCGATAGTGCTGATGGGGCCTGAAGCCGTAGCCTTGAAAGTGACCAAGTAGAACAAGTATTCCTCGGTCACCTCGTTGAGGAAGGTCACCTAAATCAGAGCAAAAGGGAAGGACGAGTCACTGCACACATAAAAACATCCTGGCCGTGTTCAGCCAGCTGAAAGAGCCTCTAGCTCAGCACCCTTTCCCCAAGGACAACTGCGAGCAGCCACCTAGGAAGAGCTCAAGGCCAGGTCTCTCCCAGACCATCAGTAACAGCACGAAAGGGCTATGCAGAGAGCAGATGCCTTCTCCTTGGTACCCCCTGGGATCTACAGCTCCACAGGTGGGCACACAGAGGTATGAGAAGAGACATGCGGCTTCTTTTCTCAGGGAGGAAGCAGCTCCGTGAAGGACCCCAAGCCTGGTGTCCACATTTACCATGGTGTTGAAGAGCCCTTCCTTGTACGAGAGGAACGTGAGCTTGTAGTCCTTCTGGCTGGAGCCAGGCACATCAATGTACTCCAGCCCCTGCAGCACAGAGCTGCTCTCCAGCTTTTCTGGCTTGAGTATGTCCACGACCACGAGGAACCTACAGGTGAGGAGTTTGTGGTCAACAAGACGCCCATAAGACAATATCACACGGGGTAACAACACACTCTCACCCTCCGTGTCTGAGGGAATCAGCTCTGACAAACCCTGGAGAAGAGCTGTCCACAAGGGGTATTTTCAAGGCAATACATGGCCAGACAAGGACAAGGAGAGTGAAAGCTTAGAGCTTCCAGGTGGAGGAAGGCCCTTCCATGCACTGCTGCACGGTGACATGAGACTCCTGGCCCTGGCTCACCTTTGTGGTCTGTTCAGCCAGTTGCAGACAGGGATGAGCTCCGTGTAGGAAGTCCTGCATGGTACCTCCCGGAAAATAGAGCCCGAACACTTTGGTGCCTCAGCAGTGCCCTGCAGGAGGTACTGCAAGCCTGTCCCGTCTGGTAACGGGAAGAAGATGGAGCCCTAGAGAGAAGGAAGAAACCTAGTAAGCTTTCCTGGCCCCTCCTGCTGCCTGCAGAAGGACTCTAGGCAGCATCAGGGTCCAGCTCCAGCTGAACTGGCTGTACCCAAGGCTTGGGGAGCCCACAGAGCTCAGCACAGAGGTCTCTGAGCCGCCAGGGCTGCCCAGGCAGGGAGGAGGAGATGCACAGAACAAACTTCACTTCTCGGAGCCTTGGACAACCTGGCTTTTTAGGTTAGCTCCTCCGATATATCTAGCTGGCAGTGCCAACTGCCCACGTGCCCATCCCTATGCTGAACCTCTAGCCACCAAGAAATCCAGTTGCCATGAATTTATCCAGCACAGGATAAATTCAGGTTAGAGGAGACCTCCAAAGGTCACTGAGGCCAGCCTCCTGCTTGAAGCAGGGTCACCTAAGAGGCTAACATTGCAAGCACCAGCATGGTGGTGCAGCTTATGCACCTGATGTTTCTTGTTCTCGGAGGTCATGGTGAGGGGTTTGTAAGTGATTTCGTAGGGCTTGTTTTGTTGACTGGCATCTAGATGGAAAAGCTCAGGCCCTTCCCAGTGTTGCCCTTCGATGACGGGATGCATGGTCCAGGCCTCGTTGCTCGGGTTGGACAGGAGGATGGTCTGGCTCTGCTTCTCGCGCACGTCACATGTGAAATTCAGTGTCTGCAACAGAGGAGCACAAAGGTCTTACCAAGCTCATGGGAGCGGTACCTCCTCATCTGCTTGTAGAGATGTGGAGGGAAGGGAGGCAGAACCGGGGAAAGCTGGAAAAAGGCTTGGACTGGTTCTGTGCCAAGCCCCGTAACAGCGGTGGTGAGGGCGGCGGGGAAGGACTCGTCCCAGCTCTGCTCCCGTTACCTCTTTGGGGGCCGAGACCTCCACGCAGCATCCCGAAAGTGTAAGCCGGAGCGGCTCACTGCCCTGGATCATGCACTTCAGCCCATCGTACTGGATAGCCTGGCCTGGCTTGGAGGGGTGGAAGGTCACAAGGAAAGGGATATCCATCCCTGGGGAGATGTAACCCTTCGCGGGGCTGATGGAGAAATACGGCTTAAAGCTCTTGGTGTCCCACTTAAACCTTGTAAAGGAAAGCACAAGGACAGAAAGGATTAACAACTGGAAGGCTGCAAACGCAGCGTGCTGCCTGCTAAGGGCTTCACGTTGGGCAAGAGTAGCTGCACGTGGTTGCAAACAAGCATTTGGATATAGCCCCCTGCTAACTGCCAGGGCTGGGCTGCCAAGCCCCCGAGCAGGCCCGTGGCACTGGGTGTCCCCAGCGCAGTGTGACTTGGGTGAGGAGCCCAGGAACACGCAGCGCAGCAGCGCTGGCCGTGGCAGGCTCCGCATCCCTGCAAGGCTCTGCCAGCTGCTCCCTTCCAGCCTCGTGCCCAGGAGGGCAAAGGAGATGGAAACAACTGCATGGGCAACCACAGCCCCATCCTGCCCCCAGCTCGCAGGCCCTCTCGGAGGGCCGGGTTTTGCACTACCTGACTCCTATGTCGCCTGTGTTCTGCATGAGGATGCGCTGGCAAGTGCGGCTGTGCTGCAGCACCGCTCCAAAGTTGACGTATTCGCGGTCCAGGTTCACGTCGATGCCCTGGCAGGAGCCCTGCACCAGGAAGAGGGAGCGCACCAGGCCGTAGCACTCCAGCACCACCTCTTCACTGAACGGCAGGACGCGGCATTTCGGGGAGAAGATCACCTCCACTTTACAGGTATCTCCTTTGGGCTTCAGGCTTATTTCAGTGGTGGGGTTCAAGCAAAGAACCTGCTCAAAGAAATAAACAGAGGCGACTTCACCTGGCAACCGAGCTGTGAATCCTTCTGAGCTAGAGTTAGAGGAGATTTTTCCAGTTATGCTAGATTCACTCCTGTTCTGTCTCCACCAGCATTACTCCAATCTCACTCCAGCTCTGATATTCCTCCCTAGATAACAAGGATGTTCTTTTGTAAGATCTGGCCATGGGGAGCTGGACTGTCTCTTCCAAAGTCACTTCATGTACGCTCCAAGAGAGTGGTAACTCCACGGGTCTAGAATATACAGCTGCAAACTAACGTAGAGGTTAAAAACACATCAGAGGAATTATTCTTTCTTTAAGAGCCTAAAGTGAGAAGTGAGTCCTGGCACCTACCTCATGTGAGACATATACATTGCAAATACCTACTGGTAGCTCGTTAGTCAGCAGAACATGCAACTATAATTAACTGTAATTAAACCAATCCAGTCCCATTTGGTGGCAAACATTACATAAAGCACCACACAATGTATTTCTGCAGGTGAAAGAAGAAATCTTGAAGCTGAGAGTAATCATCTTTTCTATTGATCAATTAAACATTAAAACATATTCTGCTTTAACCCTTTGGAATTTAACCCTTAGTAATCTTTGATTACTAGTACCCAGAAGAGGGAAAAAAAGTTCTCCAGAAAAGGCTTTGGGCTATTTTTGCATGAGGGAATACTGATATATTGCATAGAGGGGCACTGATCATCACTTTATTTCTCACACACTGACTGCTATGTCCATGAAGTCAGAAACCCAATCCTGGGATCTCTGGGCAATTTCAGTTCAATGAACAAGTAGTTCTGGAGGTGTCCATGAGAACACATGATCTGTCTGTGCCCCAAGAGCTCTGGATCTGCTCCGGCGTGGAGCTTTGTAGTCATAGCCTTCTAGACTGAAGATGTTGCTCTGGGCAAAGCTCAGAGGAGCTCCCAAGGGAGAGCCCTTACCCCAGGCTCCTGCAGCTCCGGCGCAGTGTATATGAAACTGAGCTTGAAAGCGAGAGGGGCACCACTGTTGTTTGCTATGGTGACAGCCTTCCTCACTGTCTGTCCAATGGAGAGGGCTCCCAACTTCACCACCTTTCTTTGTGGCTCCACAACATCAACCTGAGTATGAAGTGAAAGAGGACTCAGGTGGTAGAGGACAAAACGTGGCAGACTAGGGAAGAGAGATGAGGAAAACAAGGGCGAAAGCCATGTTGTCTGGCTGACACCTGGAGATTTAGGAGTGGGTTTGGTCTCACCTTCATTTCTGTGCCCCTTCCTCGGACTTCAACAGTCTGTTGGGAAAGGCCATTGATTTCGAAAGGGACAAGCTCATGGTAGGACACAGCCTCTCTGGGGTAGAAAGTGATGGGCACCTCCACGGTCCCTCCCGGGGCCAGCATGTAGCCTGGGCACTCCACCTCCAGGTGCGCCGTGCTGCTGAACAGGCAGCTCAAGCTGGGAGAAAGCAGAGCAGAGGAACAGGGGGGTCACAAGGCTGCGTGCCTGGCGGGCAACACCGGGTCTGCCGGGGTTTCCACCATCCTCTCGCTGCATCCTCAGGCACTGGCTGTGGCCAGGGTCTGTTATCGTGGGAGCTGGGGCCCTCCAGCTCAGCAGATAGAGGGGAATAGTCTGAACAGGTCCCTTGTGTGAACAGCACTCGGGGAAGTGAACGCTTCTCCTTGACAAAGGAAAACTCAAATCAGTTTTTGACAGAACAGCTGGGGCATGGGAGGCTTTTATTAGTGGAAAACACCTTATAACCTCAAAGATGGCCAGGCAGGCTGCCCATGCTCAGCATGCCGGGTGGGATGAGGAGACCTGTGCTGAACTCCCTGCCCCATGATAACTGCCCTGTGGTATCCAAGCCAGGCTCTTCTGGGCTTCGCTCAAACTCAGAGGACTGGATGGCAGCACGATGCAGCCTGCCTGGCTCGTCTGAGCTGCCAAACCCTGCCACATAATACAGCCAAATACGGGGCAGGCACGTGGCTGGCACAGGGGGCCCGGAGCCGCGCGGTCACCGCAGCGAGCGCCAGGGTGGGCGGCCGGGACACAACCCCGCTCCCTCACTGGCAGCATGGAGAGCCCTGCTCGCCACGAGGGCACGGAGCTGCCATCGGAGCCGGCTCACCTGACATCCGTGTCGGCCTTGTTAGTGATGACGAGGTTCCGCTGGGCTGGTGGCATCCCGGCCTGGTAGACAAAGCAGGTCCCAAAATTGAGCTTGGGGCAGGAGA